TATGCACATGCCACCTCTTCTACATCCACTACCAGCTGTATATGATTAGCGACCGAAGAGAGAGAGAAAAAAAAAATACAGTGAGCGAGATAGGAGTCGGGCCAATGTAAACGCCGTGTGTGAACATTCACTCATAAGTCGCGCTTCTATGACGTCACTTGGAGAGAGCTGAGAGCAAAGGGGGCGGGGGGAATTAGAGCATGGTAGGGTGGAAGGGAGATAATAGAAAACGGTGGTAAATGAGCTGATACTTAAGTAATTTTAGATGTCGGTACATTGAACGATTTGCATATTGGCCAGATTTTACAGGCGATGATTATCAGCGATTGTTTATAGGCCTATATCACATATTCTACGTGAATTTAGTTTTGTAATTTTCATGTTGCAGCTCAGACATGGCATAATAAAGACGTAAAAAAAAAGACATCGCATATGTAAACTCCAAATGTTTTTTGACGAATTTATTATAAAACAAATCATACAGCAATAACAATAATAATGTTAATAATAATAATAACAATGGCAATACATAAACATAATAACATAAATGTACATATATAAGCTGCAACCAATCACTGGGTATTGTGGCTTTGCGCGCGCCGGTCAGTCAAGCGAGCGAAAACGGAGAGAGGGGAGAGATCCTGACGGCTCTAATTCACATCACAGAATGACCACAGGATTAGCATCGAACCCCCAGGCTCTGTCTCCTGATGACGTCGTGCACGAGATGGACGAATTTGAGTCGCTTAGTGACGAGACCTGTACTTATATAGACCTTGCTAGCAGTCGGGCCACTAAAATCGCTCGTCTGAACAGGGCCTTAGGATGGTTGTTTTTTCAGCTGACTGAAGGTCTGACCCGAGGTCTTTACTGAACTCTTTCTTCGAAGCTTCAACCAACTCAAATGATTTCAAATGTGGTTGTTTTCCTTTTCATGCATACATGTATATCTATACATACACATATGATATCTATATACACACACGCGCGCGCGTGTGTGTGTGTTTGCAACACATTCTGTTACCAATGCCAAATAATGTACAAGAACAAAATCATATCAAACATATAAAACTTTGCGAAATGGCAGTATTCTTTTCTTAGATATACTTTTCCCGTGTTAGTTTAGTGACCTATAAGGTTACGTTTTCTATGGACAGACCCATTCTCGTTTTATTTTTCGGATAAGCTATTCTATGTTGATTATGCGTAGTTCAGTGTATTCGAGTTAAGAAATTCTAGTAAACTATTTGGTAATGAATTTGAAAATGAATAGAGATCATTGCTTCATAATGTATAAAACGTAATTATAATTCCTGTATTCGCTAAATATTGTTTTGATCAACATTTTTTTTTGTTTACATTTTTCTACCCTATTCATGGTATGACATATGTGCCATGGCCAATGTGATTTAGTTTTCGGTTTTGTTTGTACACATAAAGTAATTAATTAGAGTACTGATATCAACTTCAGAGAAGAAACCTGGAACATTTCAAAAATGGATAATGAGGTATAATATAAATGACCAAACAATTGAGCATTTGTGGACATATGTGAAACTCATCTACCCAATAATAATATTTAAAAGAAAGTGAAACGAACAACGGACAGCACATGTACGTGTTGCTAATGTTTCCAACGATTCAGTCATGTACGTGTGTGTGCTTTGGCCATGTGCGCGTGTGTGCTTTGGCCATGTGCGTGTGTGTGTGCTTTGGCCATGTACGTGTGTGTGTGTTTGCAACACATTCTGTTACCAATGCCAAATAATGTACAAGAACAAAATCATATCAAACATATAAAACTTTGCGAAATGGCAGTATTCTTTTCTTAGATATACTTTTCCCGTGTTAGTTTAGTGACCTATAAGATTACGTTTTCTATGGACAGACCCATTCTCGTTTTATTTTTCGGATAAGCTATTCTATGTTGATTATGCGTAGTTCAGTGTATTCGAGTTAAGAAATTCTAGTAAACTATTTGGTAATGAATTTGAAAATGAATAGAGATCATTGCTTCATAATGTATAAAACGTAATTATAATTCCTGTATTCGCTAAATATTGTTTTGATCAACATTTTTTTTTGTTTACATTTTTCTACCTTATTCATGGTATGACATATGTGCCATGGCCAATGTGATTTAGTTTTCGGTTTTGTTTGTACACATAAAGTAATTAATTAGAGTACTGATATCAACTTCAGAGAAGAAACCTGGAACATTTCAAAAATGGATAATGAGGTATAATATAAATGACCAAACAATTGAGCATTTGTGGACATATGTGAAACTCATCTACCCAATAATAAGAAGAAATTTAAAAGAAAGTGAAACGAACAACGGACAGCACATGTACGTGTTGCTAATGTTTCCATACGATTCAGTCATGTACGTGTGTGTGCTTTGGCCATGTGCGCGTGTGTGCTTTGGCCATGTGCGTGTGTGTGCTTTGTACGTGTGTGTGTGCTTTGGCCATGTACGTGTGTGTGTGCTTTGGCCATGTGCGTGTGTGTGCTTTGGCCATGTACGTGTGTGTGTGTGCTTTGGCCATGTACGTGTGTGTGTGCTTTGGCCATGTACGTGTGTGTGTGCTTTGGCCATGTACGTGTGTATGTGCTTTGGCCATGTACGTGTGTGTGTGCTTGGCCATGTACGTGTGTATGTGCTTTGGCCATGTACGTGTGTGTGTACTTGGTCATGTGCGTGAGTATGCTTTGGCCATGAGAGTGTGGTTGTACCTTGTTTTGTATTAAATTCCCATACCCCCATTGCGTTTGTTTGTTTTTAAGAAAATATTGAAACCAGAGTTTTAATATCTTTATTGTGCCAAAAATTAAAATGGGGTGAGATAGACCCCATGGGTTGATCTTACCCATTAACCTTAACACGAAGAAATATATTTTTTACTCGCATAAAACAAAAACAAAAACAAAAATCGTCATCTACTGCACGATGCTGATGTGCTCTCGCAACTTCCACTAATTCATCCTTTTCCTCTGAATCACAAATTGAGTCATTACAACACAAGCAGAGTTGAATCTTCCTCTGCACTCCACGTCACTGAGGCCAAGATGACTCACTTTTAGCTTCCTGTGCTTTTATGTGTCATGTTGCCAGGTTGTTTTTGGGGGATGTCGTTGTTGGTTTATCTTTCTTCTTTCCGGTAATTTTGGATGTAGCTTCGAGTTTCTCGTTTTTTTTTTCTTCTTTTTTCTTTTTTACCCTATTCCTTTGGGTTCCGTCTCAGCCCTATTCCTATGGGTTCAGTCTGGAAATATTTACCAAATCATCCATGATTTGTGTACCAATTCATGGCACAGATCTGTCATACACACACGCACACGCACACGCACACGCACACACACACACACACACACACACACACAGGTATATCCAACATAAGCATTAAAATTAATATTCCAATACAAAAACTGTTTGTCACCTTGTGCAAAGAAACACCAACGCCACAGATAAAGACAATACCCTTCTTATAGAGAGCAAATGTGCAACTGAGAGTGACAGCTACTACCAGTGACGTCACCACTGGGGAACGCGAATGACATCTAACGGCCAAAATCAGAACCTCGTAATTTCTGCTTGAAATCAGAGGGGGGGTGGTCCATCTCACCCCATGTGTCCACTCCTCTGCACTCCACGTCACTGAGGCCAAGATGACTCACTTTTAGCTTCCTGTGCTTTTCTGTGTCATGTTGCCAGGTTGTTTTGGGGGGATGTCGTTGTTGGTTTATCTTTCTTCTTTCCGGTAATTTTGGATGTACCTTCGAGTTTCTCGTTTTTTTTTCTTTCTTTTTTACCCTATTCCTTTGGGTTCCGTCTCAGCCCTATTCCTATGGGTTCAGTCTGGAAATATTTACCAAATCATCCATGATTTGTGTACCAATTCATGGCACAGATCTGTCATACACACACGCACACGCACACACACACACACACACACACACACACACACACACACAGGTATATCCAACATAAGCATTAAAATTAATATTCCAATACAAAAACTGTTTGTCACCTTGTGCAAAGAAACACCAACGCCACAGATAAAGACAATACCCTTCTTATAGAGAGCAAATGTGCAACTGAGAGTGACAGCTACTACCAGTGACGTCACCACTGGGGAACGCGAATGACATCTAACGGCCAAAATCAGAACCTCGTAATTTCTGCTTGAAATCAGAGGGGGGGGGGTCCATCTCACCCCATGTGTCCATCTTACCCCTACCTTCTAATCATACATGGAAAATAAACAAAAGCATTATGCAAACCCATATCTAATTATACATACACGTGCATCCACATATGTAAAATACTGTATAAGAATTTCTACAAATAAACAATAAATGAAGGTATGAAGTATGATCCTCCGCCTCATTAAAAATATATATTGAAACAATAAAATTACAAGAACGTTTATGATACAAATACAGTAATGAGATTCCACGATGGGTTCCTTATAGAGCGGTTAGGTATGTATCTTTAGATCTTGCATGTATATATACACTTAAGCATGGGTGTACACGTATGCATTGCGCACATGCACACACACACACACACACACACATGAATATGTATGCATGTTCAAGTGTATGTATATGTATAAACATGTGTACATATATGTATATGTATAAACATGTGTACATATATGTATATGTATAAACATGTGTACATATATGTATATGTATAAACATGTGTACAAATATGTATATGTATAAACGTGCGTACATATATGCATATGTATAAACATGTGTACATATATGCATATGTATAAACATGTGTACATATATGCATATGTATAAATGTGTACATATATGTATATGTATAAACATGTGTACATATATGTATATACATGTACATATATGTTGGTGTGCGTGTGCGGGTGTTTCAACACGATATTTGATGTTTGCATCTAAACTTTCAAACTAAAAACGAAAAACTAAAACTAAACCTAAAAAATTAGAAAAAGCATCTAATCTTCCAAACTAAAAACTAAAACTAAAACTAAAAACCAAAAAAAAAAAAACTAAAACTAGAAAAAAAAAAGATTAAAAAAGCAGGCAAGTCACTGTTCCTTTTTCCGCAAACTCGAATGCTCTTTCCCACTTACAGCTGATGATCAGAGACGAACTCAGGAATCACTATCCCCACTTCCACAATTTTTGGCTCCGCCACCAAGCGTCTTGCAGCAATACTCTCTACGACTGACATTCCGGAAACCACCTCGCCAAAAGAGCAGGGAAAAGAAACGGAAGAGTTCTCCAGTACTATAGCAAAGGTAGTTTGATGCTCTACTTCTTGGCATTTCCAGCCAATAACTAAACCCTTGCGCCCCGGCCATTGGTGTCCATCGTCCCACTGAAGATCATCCATCAGCGCCTCGCCAACGGGGCCATTTTCCGTCAAATAAAAGCCTCCAGTAAGGCATGGAATTTCCTCATGCTTTATGAGGTTCAAAAATGATGATTCCCTGAACGAGTAGCCGAGATGACCCCGACATAACGCTAGGAAATGCTGGCCGCGCCGCAAGTGAGACCAAACCTTGATGTAGATGCGGCCCACTTTGCCGGTTGCGGTGGCCATGTCCATGAATACCGTTGGGTTTTCACGCGGGACCAGCGGAAGGACATCAGCCATCTGCAAAAAAGGAGAGGTAAATTTCTGATATATTGATTCAGACATGGAGTGCTTGTATCTCGATATCTATGCAATGAGAGAAAAAAATCTTTGGACGATTTTTGCTTTAATTAATGTGGCCATCTTATTATATCGGTGATTAAATAACTGTGAAGGTGTTCATAAACATGGTGTTAGCTTTGCACGAAGGTTGGGTAATGTTATATACATGCTTTTCGTATTTTAGGCAATAATTATAAACAATTATAACTGGCGAAACAATGCTAATTATAACTACAATAAAATAAATGCAAAGGTCAACAGTACCTTCAAGATGATGTGAGCGTCAATATCATCCGCATCACATAGAGCGCAAAGATTAAGGTTTCCGTCCTCCCAGCCTATTTTCGCTTTCCGGCCATCGCTGTTCAGGGCAAGGCAACACACAGTCTCCATAGCTAGGCCTCTTCGCTTCCTTTTCTCAGCAGAGTTGGCTCCCATGTCGTCAGGGGGAGACATCTGCATCTTAAGGTCTTCGAGTTCTGAGATGGATCCTCCACCTCTAAGAATATCATACAGTTTCTTTGAGTAGACGTTTCGGCAACGGCTTCCCTCATCCATGGTCAAGGAATGCTTTAAGGCTAAGTAGACCTTGCTTAGAATGAGCGACCTCTCGTTTATAGCATCGATTGTCGTTTGCTCGAGTGGCAAGCTCTTTCTCTCCTGAAAAAAAGGCAAATGAGTTATTAGACTATCTAATCATTAACGAATGACTTAATTAACGATGCATTAAAAGCCTTGTTTGTAGCATCCCCGAAACCTCAGCTTCATACTCGTCGATATATGTTTGCCCTTTACGCGTACATTATTGGAACCTGGTGAAACATCTTTTCATTTTGTACCGAAGTGTCTGCCCCTTCCTTGAAACAATTTGATACACTCCGGTCAGCTAATCAGAGTGCGATATTTTCCAGATATATTTTATGGAGGCTCAGATAGTAAATTATTTTTTCATTCATTATGACTCGCATCATGAAATTCTTGATGCAAAATTCCATTTCGAAGGATCATAAAATGTCTATTTACCAGCATACCAAATACATGATCAATCGATATGGGTAAAAATTGAACTCGCTCGCTTGACATTCGCTGGAACGACACGGAAAGTATTTTCAACGAGTCCGGATCATATGACGTGGTATTGACTTCGGTGGAATGAATATCTTCAAAATCATTCTGTACTTTTGTGATACAATCTTACAGGCCCAGAAATATCAGAAAAGACTCTATCTCCATTTGTTGATATAATTCCATCAATAAAACAAGTGATACATTGTTTGGCTTGTAGTTACATATCATACATCTTTTTTCAAATATTTGTCAAGGTAAGACCTTAAGTGAACTGAGCATAATTACTGCAATGAAGCTTACCTTTACCTTTACCTTACTTACGTACATATCTGCTACTCCTAAAAGAGCGTAGTTTATTGGCAAGTCTCCTACAGGTTTCCCGGTGTGGTATTTCTTGCAGAAGGGGCACATCACCTCATGGAGATTGGCAAGGCAATGCCTGCAAACGGTATGACCACATTCAGGTAACATCACAGGTTCCCTTTCTCCACTTGCGAATATCTCGAAGCATATGGCACAGCTGATCTGTTTTTCCATGGTAGCATCAACGATGACCTGTAAACATATATACTACATTACTTTATATAAATCTCTCTCTCTCTCTCTCTCTCTCTCTCTCTCTCTCTCTCTCTATATATATATATATATATATATATATATATATATATATATATATATATATATATATATATATATATATGTATATGTACATATATGTATACATATGTGTATATATATAT